TTGGGTGGAGTTTCTTCTTGCTGTTGTCGAGTGCAGACATGTTTCTCTGTACTGATATGAGAGACAGAAATAAAAGATGTAAATAGTTTTCTGTCTGCTTCTTTCCCCTCCTTGGGGGACACCAAAGGGGAGAGACGAAGAACGGTGTGTTCCTCTCACACATCTGAGAAGAATCGCCGAGACCTCGCCTGCTTATCAGCAGAGTAGAGACGCAGCGAGGTCGACAGGAATATCTGCCGGTGCCTACGCTGTTGGCACATTCCTCTGACCCAAGGCAGAATTCCAAAATTCCAAAATTTTAGTTTATTGTTTTTAATTGGGTTGGATTACGATGCGGATATGATGATTGGCTGTTTTTATTGGAAAAGCAATAAAAATGATTTTTAAAAAAAGTCTTTGCTGATTGCAGGAGAAGATCAGCAATGGTGGTCAGGACATCTTTCCAACGAGGCCTGCATGCCATTGTGGACTTTTCTTTTCCTTTTGAGGAAAGCTCAGGCTTTCCCTAGGGAAAAAACAACAAACCCCGCTGATCTAGCCTTGAGTCAAACATTCAGTCATCCGTTAAGTGTAACTGGCATTTAGATGTGTGAGCTCTCGTTGGATAAAAATGAGTCAAATGCTATTCTTCCACCAACTGCAATTAAAGGTAAAGGGACCCCAGACCATTAGGTCCAGTCATGACCGAATCTGGGGTTGCGGTGCTCATCTTGCTTTATTGGCCGAGGGAGCCGGCGTACAGCTTCCAAGTCATGTGGCCAGCATGACTAAGTCGCTTCTGGCAAACCGGAGCAGCACACGGAAACGGCGTTTACCTTCCCACCGGAGTGGTACCTATTTATCTAATTGCACTTTGACGTGCTTTCGAACTGCTAGGTTGGCAGGAGCAGGGACTGAGCAACGGGAGCTCACCCCGTCGCAGGGATTCGAACCGCCGACCTTCTGATCGGCAAGCCCTAGGCTCTGTGGTTTAACCCACAGCGCCACCCATGATCTCACCAAGATGCATGAGATCTCAAGATCTTACCCAGATGCGTGAGATCTTGTTGGATAAAAATGAGACAAATGCTATTCTTCCACCAACTGCAATTAAGGCACGTTAAAAAGAGATAATAAGCCAAAAGAAGAGGACAGGGAAGAGGTACGGTGTTAAGAGAGGCACAGTATAGAAGCATCAGACTAAGTGGGACTCAGATATCGACATCAGGAAAATTCAAGCAGCCTTTGATGGGCGAAAGAAGTAAACCACACCATTTGAGATATGCATTAAAGCAGACATGCACACACTTTTCAAAGCTGCATTAGAAGTGATTGGTTTCTGTTAGAATCCCAGGAGGCACACAAGGTCTTCTAAGCCAAAGTTAATCTACTGGTTAATACAAGTAGCCCAGAGAAGTCAGTGGAAGCAGCAAGGAGGCGGTCAATCAGGGAGGCGAGAGGTGGTTAGTTTCAGAAAGCAGAGGGGGGCCGGGGTCCCCGGTTACCTCATGAACTCCAGCTCCTGCCGCTGCTCGCTGCAGGTGTTCTGCAAGCCCCAGAGCGCCGCGTTCAAGTCCTCCCTCTCCTGAGCGTGGCTCCCCTTTCTGCTTCAGCAGGGCCGCCACCTTTTCCTTGAGCTTCCTGTTTAGCTCCAGGAGCCCCTTCGCCTCCGTCTCCGTGTCCCAGGCTCCGTTCTCGCCCCAGCCGTGGCGCCGCCCGGATTTCGGGGTCTTCAGGGTGGCCACAAAGGCTTCCATCTTGCCCAGCCGGCTCTGCAGGGCCAGGTTGGCGCTCAGTAGCTCGGCGTTCTCCACGGACATCTGGCCGTGGGCCTCTTCCAGCTCCACCACCCTCTCCTGCAGCCGCACCTTCTCCTGCGTCAGCGCGAGACTCTCTCGGTCGCTCTCCTCCAGCCTGCTCTGAAGACGCAGCAGCTGGGGCAAGCGGTCTTCCAGCCTGGCATTCTGCTCAAGCAACTTGCCCACCTCGGCTTTCAAGGCCTGGTTCTGCAGCTCAAGTTCTTCCGGCGCGGGAAAACCTTTGTTCTGCCCCCTGGAGCTCACGTCTCTCTCGGCGGCTGCACCCCAAAGCTCTGGAGCCTGGTTTTCCAGCTCTGCCTTCTCAGTCCCAATTGCCCCTCTGTAGCCTGCCATCTCCACAGCTTGGAGTTCAGCCTCTGGGGCTCCAGCAGAGGGCCTTTTGCTCCCTCTGATGCAATCTGGGTGCAGTTTTGTGACACTGGCTTGTCCCCAGCCGAGACTTTCCCCGCGCTCCTCGCTTCCGCAGGGCAAGGCGTTCGGCTGGGGGATGGTCTTGAGGATCTCCTCCAGCTCCTTCTCCACCTGGGATGCCATGTCTTGCCGGTCCAGAGTGGCCTGGTCACATTCGGCCTCCAGGAGGCTGATTCGCTCTCGAAGCTGGTGCTGCTGCCGCTTGAGGGTGTCGTTCTCCACCCAGATCTCCTCATAGGCCTTCTCCAAGACAAGCGTCGTCTCCATGGGTCCTTCCAGTATCGTCTCTTCAATTTCCATCGCCAGGCTGCCTGACTCTCCGATGCCATCGTCCGTTTTTACTTGAGCGTCGTCTTGGTCCCTTACGTTCAGCAACCGCGAGTCCCTCAATGATTCTGGAACCAGTGTGATAAAACTAGGAGAGCGAGCTGGGCTTCTCAGCAGCTCTGTGGAGACAGTTGCTGAGCTACCTTCTGCTGTAGGTTCTTGGTCCTTTCTCTGGTCCGAAAGAAAGTCCATCAGTTCTCTTGGTTCCTGGGGCTTCACTGGCCCTGGGAAATCACTCCTCTGCGTGTCTGCTTCTTCGTTCAAAAAAGCTAAATTTCTTTGCAGTTCGGACAGACGTTGGAGCTCCTGCTGGAGCTCTTCAATGTTGCCTTCAAGAGTCAAGACTTTGGCCCTCAACTCCTCCTTCTCTTCAGCCGCTCTGCTGAGTGCCTCCTGTTTCAGGCGTTCCACGGTGGCGAGCCTCGAAGTCAGCTTGCCTTTCTCCTCCTTGAATTCAGCCTCCTGCCTCTTGAGCTTTTGGAGGAGCAGCTCCTGATCTTCCTCAGCTCTGGACATTTCTTCTTCTTCTTCTCTCTTCTGGAACTCCTGCTGGTGGACCTCTTGCCTTCGCTGGAGTCCCCGGTGGAGCTCGCGCTCCCTTTTCGTCACATCCTCCAGCTGCTTCTGCAACTGCTCCTTCTCCAGGACTAGAGAGCTCACACACTCCTCAAAATGCTTCTCCAGGAGCTGCTTCTCTTCCGCGAGGGCCGACAAAGCCTCTTTCTCCTCCGCCAGCATTTCCTTCAACCTCTCCTGGGTCTCGGCGTCTTCCTGGGCCATTTCATCCTTCTCAAACTCCCACTGGGATTTCTCCTCAGAGGCCTCGTGCAACTCCTGCTGGTAGCGCTCCTCAAGGCCTTTCAGGGCCTCCCCGTACTTGCTCACAAGCGCCTGTCGGTCCGCGGCAAACTGCTCCTCCATCCGAGAAACTCTTCCGTTAAATTCATTTTCCATTTTTGCCCTGGATGGTGGTCAACACAACACATTACTGAAGCCTCTGCCAAGTGAGGGACAGGCGGCGGCAGAACAATGACTGTCCCAGGCCTCAGCCTTTGAAGACCACAGGCCAAGATGGAGGTCCAAATGCAGTTTATTTGTCTCGGATCTTCATTTTTAATCCTCTCTCCTTTCGAATATTGTTCCTCCCGCCTCCTCTTAAATCCACCCCTCAGCTACTGAAGACCAAGAACGTAACAAGATGGGGACTTGTTTACAGCTTAGTCCAATATATTGAAGGCAATTCAACTTAAGATTGCAAGAAAAGTCTGCTGGGTCATGCGAGCAACCCATCTAGTCCAGCATCCTGTTCTCACAGTGGCCAACTAGAAGCTCGTGGGAAACCCACAAGGAGCATTTGAACACTCTCCCCTCCTGTGGTTTCCAGCAATTCAGAAGCATCGCTGGCTCCAACTGTGGAGGCAGAGAGCAGAGCCAATATGGCTGGCGGCCACTGACAGCCTTGTCATCAATGAATTGTCATCTAGTCCTCTTCTAAAGCCAACTAAGAGGTTGGTGGCCTTCAGCCGTGAGTTCCATAGTTCAACTTAAGTTCTTCAAACAGTGCAGAGTTAAACTATGGAACGCACTGCCACAGGAGGCCACAGGATGGCCAAGGACCTAGATGGCTTTAGAAAAAAACTGGACAAATTCATGAAGGAGAGGGCTATCGATGGCTACTAGCCAGGATGGCTGTGCTCTACCATGCTTTTGAATCCCGGTTGCTCAAAACCACAGGAAGGGAGAGCTGTTCCTGTTCATGTTGGACCAGATGGGGCACTGGTCTGATCCAGCAGGATCTTCTTATGTTCCTGTGTTAGCTTGCCGCCCTGGGCCAGCCTTGGGGGGCAGGCAGCTGCTGCAGAATGCATAATAATAATAATAATAATAATAATAATAATAATAATAATGTTTTCTTTATACCCCGCCCTTCCCGGTTCAAAAACCGGGCTAACAACAAATTTAAAACACTTAATTATAAAAGCAGCATAAAGTACAGTATAAAAACATGAATAACAATAACATTCAAAATTCAGAAATCAATTCAGGGGTAATAAGTATTAGATAACCCCCAGGGCTAGCTGGCTGAATTGGTCCTACTTGGGCCAGCGAGGAGGCCAGGGGAGAATTAGCTGTGGGGTCTGAGAGCGGGTTATCTTCATAAAAGGGGAGGGAAGGAAAGGGAAATAAAAGATCAGGCTGAATTCAAATTAAAAGCCAGGCGGAATAGCTCTGTCTTACAGGCCCGATGGAAGGAGGTTAAATCCTGAAGGGCCCTGATCTCATGGGACAGAGGATTCCACCAGGTCGGAGCCATCACTGAGAAGGCCCTGGTGGAGGATAGTCTTACTTCCTTAGGGCCCGGGACCTCTAAACTATGCTTATTTATGGACCCTAAAGTCTTTTGTGGGGCAGACCAGGAGAGGCGCTCCTGTAGATATGAGGGCCCTAACGCAGCCCCCTCACCTTTCCTCCTCGAGCTCCTCCCGATACTTCCGCGCCAGCTCTTGCTGCAGCGCCTCCTTCTCCACCACTAGCTTCTCCTCCAGCCTCCGCAGCTGCTCGTGGAAACCGCCCTCCATCTCTGCTTTCTCTTCCTGGACCGTCTGCACCATGGCTCTCATTTTCTCTTCCAGCCGGACCCTGGCCTGGACCAGCTCTTCTCGCTCACGGCCGAAACCCTCGCGGGCCTCCTGCAGCCTGGCCTGCAGCTCCTCCTGGTGCTGGAGCTTTAGCTGGTCCACCAGGCTGGCCTTCTCCTCCAGGGATACCTGCAGGCTGCCAGTCTCCACCTTCTGCTGTGAGTCGGCCTCCTGCCACTCTTGCCGGAGCCTCTCCAGCTCCTCCTGGAGCTCAGACACCTGGGCTTGCAGCCGGTCAACCTGCTCTTCCAAGGCTTGCCTTTCCTGGGCGTGGTGCTGCTGGAGGATCTCTTGCTCCTTGGCCACAGCGAGTCTTGCTCTCCTCCAGCTGCTTCTGGTAATGGCACAGCTGGAGGAAGGGAGAAAGAGAGGGAGGAAGAGAGAGAAAAAAGCGTAATCAAAAAATGAATGTTGGAAATGTAAAGAAAAGGAGGGTACTTTTTCCATATGTGGTGGACATGCAAAGAGGTAAAAGCTTTCTGGGAAATGATATATATGTTACGATATGGATGCAATGCGACCGCGAGCAGCAGGTGGCTTGAAAGCAAAACATAATGGGAATGTTGGAACTGTTCCGTGGGAACAGAGGGAGGGTCTGTTTTCAGTGCAAAGCACCGGAAATAGCTCAGTGTGACCTGTACAGGAAGTACAGGAGGAGGAGTTTATTCTCTCTTCTAATGGAGTCTGATGAGAGCAGACGTGTTTCTCTGTAATGCTGCAAAGACAGAAATAAAGGCATGTAGATACATTTCTGTCTATCTCTTTCCCCTGCCTGGGGGAGGGCAGGGAAGAGTGGTGTGTTCTTCTCACGTTTGAGGAGGATCGCCGATCGAGACCTTGCCTGCATCTGCCAGGGAATGCAGACAGGGAGGTCACCAGGAGATCATGCTGGGTGCCTGGAGAGTGGCCCGTTTCTCCTGAGATATGGCAGATCTTCTAACAATATAATGAGTTAAAGAAATTTTAAAAAGAGGTAAAAGCTTTCTGGGAAATGATATATAATGAGTTAAAGAATTTTTTTAAAAGAGGTAAAAGATTTCTGGGAAACAATATATAATGAATTAAAGAAAATGTTTAAAAATACTTTTATAAAAAAACCAGAAGCTTTTTTTATTGGGTATAGTAGGTAAAGAGTTACCGAGACAAGATAAAAAATTGTTCTTATATGCAATGACTGCAGCAAGAATTTTGTTAGCCCAAAAATGGAAACAACATGAAGTACCAACGAAAGAAGAGTGGCAGATGAAAATGATGGACTTTGCAGAACTGGCAAAACTGACGGGAAGAATCTGGAACCAGCGAGATCAAGTGTTCCAAAAAGACTGGAAAAATGTGTATTATATTTGAAAGACAACTGTAAGCAACTAACATCATTAGCAGGGTGATCTGAAGACATGCAAGATGAAATTGATACCTATTCAGGAGGAGAAATTTAATACGTTAGGTTATGATGTAACAAGTATAGGAAAGGAAGCGAAATGCAAAAGATGAAAAAATTAATTTTGTAAACCGGTAGGCGGGTTTGAGCCAAAGGGATATAATAACATGCCTGCTCAGTTGTTGCTTAACTAACCTGCAAGCAAATCAGAAGGATTTGCTCAATAAAATCAGGAGATAAATCTAATTTCCAGGCCAGCTTTGGGCAAGAAAATCAGGTTGGCTGCTCAACAAAGATCTCATCTGGAGGGAAGTCTGGAATACTGTTTGCAGTTCTGGCTCGCGTGTTTTCACGTTAACGGACAATTAAAAAGAGGCTTTGTGCAAATCGTGACAGGCAGAAGAATGAAAGTGGAAGTGGGATGGCTATAAACAGCACTCCAGGGCTGCGAGCCGAGGGTCCCACCACCACAATGAACGCGGACCAACCCCTCAGAAGTGTCCTGAGCAAACACGGTGAAGGCCTTTGATGCAGACCCTGCTCTTCACATGGGGGGGGGGAGAGGTCAGCTTACCCTGTTCTGAAGCTCCTCTTGCAAGCTGCAGAGGTCCTGTTGGTGCTGATCTTTCAGTTGCTCGATAGCCATTTCGGCTTCTATGCTCATATTTAGCGGGTTGCAGTCTTCAGAACCGGGCGCTAAAATGCAAAATCAGCAGGAAAAATGCAGGCCTTCTTGGTTTTCTACACAACGTTTGCTAATAATAATAATAATAATAATAATAATAATAATAATAATAATGATGATGCCATATTTTTCGGCCCATAGGATGCACCTAGTTTTTTTGGGGGGAAGTAAAGGAAAAAAAATTCCCTTTATTTCACCCCCAAAACCAGGTCGGGGAACAGCGGGATGGCGGCGCTGCTCCTCCCCGCTGTCCCCCGAGCTTGTGGGGCTGCCCGATGTTTTCCTGAAGCGCCAGGCGCGCTGCTTCCAGCCCGCCCCGCGCTCCGGGAAGCAGGCAGCTCCGCGCAACCCTCGGGAGCCTGGTGCGGCTTCGTGCCGGTCTCCCGAGGGTTGCGCAGAGCTTCCTGAAGCCTGGAGAGCGAGAGGGATCGGTGCGCACCGACCCCTCTCGCTCTCCAGGCTTCAGCGAAAGCCTGTATTCGCCCCATTCATTTTTTGAGGGGACAAAGCGTGTCCTATAGGGCGAAAAATACGGTAGTTTATTATTTATTATTTATACCCCGCCCATCTGGCTGGGCTTCCCCAGCCACTCTGGGTGGCTTCCCAAAAAAAATATATTAAAATACTGTAATACATCAAACATTAAAAGCTTCCCTGGGAGCCAATGTAGGTCTTTCAAGACCGGTGTTATGTGGTCTCAGCGGCTGCTCCCAGTCACCAGTCTAGCTCCCGCGTTCTGGATTAGTTGTAGTTTCTGGGTCACCTTCAAAGGTAGCCCCACATAGAGTGCATTACAGTAGTCCAAGTGGGAGATAACCAGAGCATGCACCACTCTGGCAAGACAGTCTGCAGGCAGGTAGGGTCTCAGGCTGCGTACCAGGTGGAGCTGGTAAACAGCTGCCCTGGACACAGATTTGACCTGCACCTCAATGGACAGCTGTGAGTCCAAAATGACTCCCAGGCTGTGCACCTGGTCCTTCAGGGGCACAGTGACCCCATTCAGGACCAAGGAATCCTCCACACTTGCCTGCCCCGTCCCCCCAAAACAGTACTTCTGTCTTGTCAGGATTCAACCTCAATCCATTAGCCGCCATCCATCCTCCAACCGCCTCCAGGCACTCAGACAGGACCTTCCCTGGGTCTGATTTAAAAGAGAGGTAGAGCTGGGTATCATCCGCATACTGATGAACACCCAGCCCAAACCCCCTGATGATCTCTCCCAGTGGCTGCATGTAGATGTTGAAAAGCATGGGGCAGAGGACAGAACCCTGAGGCACCCCACAAGTGAGGCCGCTAGTTCACTTCCAGCAGCCTTCCATTTTTGCAGAATCTATTCCCAGCCCCATCTGGAGATGCATGGGATCGAATCTGGGACCTGCATTCAAAACCAATGCTCTGAAACTGATCTACGACCCTTCGCCACATCGTGGCTCCCATGGCAGAGCTCTTCTCTTGCTTCTGATTGAGCAATCCATCCTCTCAACCTGAGCCAACCTTGGTTACTCTCCCTCCAAGCAAGGCTTCTATTTTGCTGGCTCTCGATTATCGCTGGCATTTAGACGCCATTCAATATTCAGAATGTCTATGGAACATCTGCGAACATCTGCGGAATGACGGCTCTGAGGCCCCCGAGGGCAGTTAAACCCAAGCCCCCTCCTCCTCCTCTCCCCACAGCTGATCATCGTTTTACCTTGAGCTCCCTCTGCCCCGTCATCGTCCAGCTCCTCGTAGAGAGAGGCTTTCAGAGGACTCCGGGCGACTCTGCCTTGACCCTGGTACTCTTCCAGCTGAGACTGAAGCTCATCGATTTGGTCTTGGAGTTCCTGGGCACAGCAAAACAGACGCAAACAGACATTGCGGCACTACCGCCAAACTCCGAGACGACATGAGAGACGACATGTTTCTTTGTTCTGATTTATGTTTAATAAATCTGTAGGCTGTGGCATGACTTACACCTCACGCCCTACTTCTGTGCGCGAACCACACTCTGCTAATTGCATGCCCTGGCTTTTAAAGTCTGGGTTGCTGATTTACATTGGGCTAATAATAAGATAATAATAATAATATAATAATTAATAATATGCTATACCCGCCCATCTGGCTGGGTTCGCCCAGCGCACTCTGGTGGCCTTCTAATCGAGTGTTAAAAAATACAGCAGCTGGCGAAATATTAAAACTCCTAAACAGGCTGCCTTCCGATGTCCTTTTATCTAAAAGAAGATAGCTGCTTATATTCCTCCACATCTGAAGGAGGGCGTTCCACAGGCGTGGCGCCACCACCAACAAGGTCCTCTGCCTGAGTTCCCTGAGCACGCTAATCGCAGTCACCAAAATTCTCGTGCCGTTTCAGATTTTGAGAGGATACCTCCACTCGAAGGAAGTCCAACTGCGCTCGACACCAAGTAAGTCTGCTGGTCGAACGCAAGCAATGGGGACGGAGGTAGCGCTGGCTTCAGAGTGGTCGGGTATACTGGGCTGAGGCCGTTTAGGGCTGTAAAGGTCAGCACCAACACTTTGAATTGTGCTCGAAAACGGACTGGAAAGAGATGTCTGAGCTGGGTTTTCCAGCTGGCCTCTTGGCCCTCTGCATGTCGACAATGGACACCCTGGGCCAGACCTCCTTCACTTACCCTGCACTGCTGTTCGTACGTATTCTTCATCTGCATCAGCCGCTCCTCTTGGAGGAAGAACTCTGCGCTGCTGGGATCGAGATCCCCATACTAGAGCCAAAGAACAAGTGGTGGGAATGTAAAAAGGTGAAATGCTTCTGGGAGATGATATATAATGAGATGAAAAAAATGCTGAAATATACATTCATAATGAAACCAGAAGCATTTTTACTGGGCATTGTGGGGAGTGATATAAATAGAAAGGAATGTAAGCTCTTTTTATATGCAGTAACAGCAGCAAGAATATTACCGGCCCAAAAATGGAAGCAAGAAGAATGACTGAAGATTGAATAATGGAGGATGAAGTTAATGGACTATGCAGAACTAGATAAACTAACAGGAAGGATTCGAAACTGGCGGGACCAGAAATTCACAGAAGACTGGAGTAAATTTACGGACTACTTGAAAAGTATTTGTGAAGATCAGACGACGTTTGTAGTTTTGCAATAAGTTTTGTGAGGAGTATTATTGGAAGTATTGCAAAATTGGAGAAGGGAAAGGATGATTTATTAAGAGATGTAAAGGCAATATAAAGTTAAGAAATGCATAAGAAGTGGTGAAAACGGTGGATCATCAGAGGTGCTGATGGAAGTCTAAAAAAGATTGTATAAGTGATAAGTTTTGTGGTACATTTTATAATTTATATGTTAAAATCAATAATAAAAAAAACTAGAGCCAAAGAACACTTTGTCACCACCCTCTTCCACCATAACAGTGCTCCCCAAACCTTTTCGGGCCAGCGCCCCATTGGGTCGGCAAGGCCCAGCCTACCTTCTCCGCTAGGACATTCTCCCAGTTCTTCTGGAGTTTGCTGATGGTGCCCTCGCATTTCAACAGCTTCTCTCCGGTTTCCTGGAGTTCGTTCTCCAAGCGGCTGTTCTCCTAAGGAAAAGCCAAAGGAAATAAAGAGGTCGGGAGCCGTATTGCAAAACGGTAAACAGAACAGGGCAGGTTTTCTAGATCAGTGTTTCCCAACCGGTGTTCCGCGGCACACTAGTGTGCCGCGAGACGTTGCCTGGTGTGCCGCGGGAAAAATTGGCAGGGTGGGGGGGGGAAAGGGGAAAAAAATTATTCCCCCACCGCCAGGCGTGGGGCTGGGGCGGGGGAAGCCCGAGCTTCCCCCTCCCCCAGAACGGGACCCAGAGCCATGCCGAAGCTGCGCGCAGCTTTGGCATCGCTCTGGGAGCTTGCGGGGCTGGGGGAGGAGGAAGCCCTCCGCCAGCCTCCAAACCATGTCGGGAGACAGCGGGATGGCGCGCTGCGCCTCTCCCGCTGTCCCCCGAGTTTGCAGGGCTGGCGATGGGGAGGAGCAGGCTTCTCCCCCGCCAGCCTTCCAGCCAAGTCGGGGGGCAGCGGCAAGGGCGCGCTGCGCCTCTCCCGCTGTCCCCCGAGTTTGCGGGGCTGGCGATGGGGAGGAGCAGGCTTCTCCCCCCGCCAGCCTTCCAGCCAAGTCGGGGGGCAGCGGCAAGGGCGCGCTGCGCCTCTCCCACTGTCCCCGAGTTTGCGGGGCTGGCGATGGGGAGGAGCAGGCTTCTCCCCCCGCCAGCCTTCCAGCCAAGTCGGGGGGCAGCGGCAAGGGCGCGCTGCGCCTCTCCCGCTGTCCCCCGAGTTTGCGGGGCTGGCGATGGGGAGGAGCAGGCTTCTCCCCCCGCCAGCCTTCCAGCCAAGTCGGGGGGCAGCGGCAAGGGCGCGCTGCGCCTCTCCCGCTGTCCCCCGAGTTTGTGGGGCTGGCGATGGGGAGGAGCAGGCTTCTCCCCCCGCCAGCCTTCCAGCCAAATCGGGGGGGAGCGGCAAGGGTGCGCTGCGCCTCTCCCGCTGTCCCCCGAGTTTGCGGGGCTGGCGATGGGGAGGAGCAGGCTTCTCCCCCCGCCAGCCTTCCAGCCAAGTCGGGGGGCAGCGGCAAGGGCGCGCTGCGTTTCTCCGCTGTCCCGGACGGCTTTCAAAAGCCTGCCTTCAAAAGCCGTCCGGGACAGCGGAGAAACGCGCTGCCTTTCTCCGCTCTCCCGGGAAGGCAGGCAGGGGGGAGCAAAGGCTTTCGCCCCCGCCCACCTTCAGAAGAGGTCCAGGACCTTCAAAAGCCATCCGGGACAGCGGAGAAACGCGCTGCCTTTCTCCGCTCTCCCGGGAAGGCAGGCCGGGGGGAGCAAAGACTTTCGCCCCCGCCCACCTTCAGAAGAGGTCCAGGACCTCTTCTGAAGGCGGGCAGGGGGCGAAAATCTTTGTCCCCCCTGCCTGCCTTCCCAGGGGCTTTTAAATCGCCCCGGACAGCAGAGAAGTCCTCCGCTGTCCCGGGCGATTTTAAAATTCCGCCCGCCAGCATTTTAAGATTGCCCCGGACAGCGGAGAAGTCCTCCGCTGTCCCGGGGTTTTTTAAAATGCTGGGGGTGGGAAGAAAAGCCCTTGTCCCCCCCCAGCCTTCAGAAGAGGTCGGGGGACAGACTGTCCCCGGACCTGGTCTGAAGGCGGTTTCCCTAGGAACGCATTAATTGATTTTCAATGCATTCCTATGGGAAACCGTGCATCGCAAGACGAAAAACTCGCAAGACGAAGAGACTTGCGGAACGAATTAATTTCGTCTTGCGAGGCACCACTGTATCCGGAGAGGCGGCCTTCAGGCGAGTTTTAATTTTAATTTTCCTTCTCCCACTTAATGCCCCACGCTCGCCCGAGCAGCTTGCAGTCCTCGGTAACCACGGCGACCCGAGGGAGGGGAGGGAACAGGGAAGTCGAGGGCAGCGGCGAGCCGCGATGACGTCAGTGGGCCGCGCCGCCTCGCCCTGGCACGGTGTGAGAGCCCCGGCTAGTGGTGCGAGCTTCAGAATAAGTGGGATCCGCGTGCGCGAGACCGAGATCGCGGGTAAGGAGCTCAGCCCTGGGCAGGAGGAAGCGGGGCCACGCGTGTGGGCCACATCCCCACAGAGAGCGAGCCTCCCCCGGCCCACCACTCCGGGCAGGTCCACTCGCATGAGGGGGCGGCGATGGCGACGGCCGGCAGCTTGCCTGCAATGCCATCCCTCGAGCAGGCGAGGAGCCCGGAGGCTACCAGATGCGAGTCCTCTTTCCCACCCTGCTCGGGAGTCCAGAGCACTTGGTCGCATTCAGGATCTAGAGTGGGGAAGCGGGGCTTGTGTCTGGGCTGGACACATTGGGCTGCCTGTGCTGCTCGACCTGCGGGGAGAAATCAGGGTGGGAGTCACGACCGTGAGGCAGGGCTGCCAAGTGTGGCAGAAGAGGACACGGCCGTCGCACCTGTCCTTAGGTAGGAGCTTCTTCCGTGTCGACCTGCTGCCCTAAAGTCTTGGCTTTTTTCTTGGCTTTTTGGCGGTTGGCACAGAAGGAAGGCAAGGGGGAGGGGAAAAAATTGAAACTTACACTTTCGTGCGTCCCTCCCGGCGTGACGCTGCGCGCTGACGTCACGGGGCTGTAATGGTGGTGTGCCTCGAGATTTTTTTCATGAAACAAGTGTGCCTTTGCCCAAAAAAGGTTGGGAAACACTGTTCTAGATATGTGGTGAAGGCAACTAACCCGAAGCGCCTGATTCAGTGACTGCGCCCTTTTAAAATGGGATTATTTTATTGCGGGTTTTAATTATCGGCATTTATAGGTGTGGGTTTTTTTTGTGAAACTGGTTTTTATTCCTGTAAACTACTTAGAAAGCTATTTTGGTAGTAAGCAGTTTACCAATCAATCAATCAATCAATAGTGCCACTGTATTCTGCTCTGGTCAGACCTCACCTGGAGTACTGTGTCCAGTTCTGGGCACCACAGTTCAAGAAGGACACTGACAAACTGGAACGTGTCCAGAGGAGGGCAACCAAAATGGTCAAAGGCCTGGAAACGATGCCTTATGAGGAACGGCTAAGGGAGCTGGGCATGTTTAGCCTGGAGAAGAGGAGGTTAAGGGGTGATATGATAGCCATGTTCAAATATATAAAAGGATGTCATATAGAGGAGGGAGAAAGGTTGTTTTCTGCTGCTCCAGAGAAGCGGACACGGAGCAATGGATCCAAACTACAAGAAAGAAGATTCCACCTAAACATTAGGAAGAACTTCCTGACAGTAAGTTCGACGGTGGAATTTGCTGCCAAGGAGTGTGGTGGAGTCTCCTTCTTTGGAGGTCTTTAAGCAGAGGCTTGACAACCATATGTCAGGAGTGCTCTGATGGTGTTTCCTGCTTGGCAGGGGGTTGGACTCAATGGCCCTTGGGGCCTATTCCAACTCTATGATTCTATGATTCTATGATTCAATCAATCAATCAATCAATCAATCAATCAATCAAGGAGAGCTCACTGGGTGAGCTTGGGGCCAGCAGCTGCCTCTCAATCTAACCTACCTTGTGAGGCTGTTGTGGGGATTAAAATGAGGAGGGTGAGAGAACCGTGTGAGCTCCTTGGTGAGAAAAAATGTGGGATAATATTATTATTATTATTATTATTATTATTATTATTATTATTAATAAATTTATTCCCTGCCCATCTGGCTGAGTTTCCCCAGCCACTCTGGGTGGCTTCCAATCAAGTATTAAAAACAATACAGCGTTAAATATTAAAAACTTCCCTGAACAGGACTGCCTTCAGATGTCTTTTAAAGATAGGATAGCTACTTATTTCCTTCACATCTGAAGGGAGGGCGTTCCACAGGGTGGGCGCCACTACCGAGAAGGCCCTCTGTCTGGTTCCTTGTAACTTGGCTTCTCGCAATGAGAGAACCACCAGAAGGCCCTCGGAGCTGGACCTCAGTGTCTGGGCAGAACGATGGGGGTGGAGATGCTCCTTCAGGTATACAGGACCGAGGCCGTTTAGGGCTTTCAAGGTCAGCACCAACACTTTGAATTGTGCTTGGAAATGTACTGGGAGCCAATGCAGAGTTCTCAGGACCAGTGTTATATGGTCTCAGCAGCCGCTCCCAGTCACCAGTCTAGCTGCCGCATTCTGGATTAGTTGTAGTTTCCGGGTCACCTTCAAAGGTAGCCGCACTTAGAGCGCATTGCAGTAGTCCGAGCGGGAGATAACCAGAGCATGCACCACTCTGGTGAGGTAGTCCGGGGGCAGGTAGGGTCTCAGCCTGCGTACCATATGGAGCTGGTAGACAGCCGCCCTGGACACAGAATTGACCTGCGCCTCCATGGACAGCTATGAGTCCAAAATGACTCCCAGGCTGCACACTTGGTCCTTCAGGGGCACAGTTACCCCATTCAGGACCAGGGCATCCCCCACACCCACCCGCCCGCCCCCTGTCCCCCCCAAAACAGTACTTCGGTCTTGTCAGGATACAACAAATATGATTGGCATCCGTCTGTCCCACGAGACAATGTGCCTCTGGGGGTGAAGTTAAATCGCTGTGTTAGCAGCACTGAAGTGACTGAAGTTGCCAGCCTGGGCAAGTGTGTCTGGAGGTCCTCGGCCGCCCAGATGACAAGACCTCCATCTTGACATCGTTGATGTGGTCCAAAGGAAAGCAGGGCAAGAAGTTTGGGCCCAGCTTGGCTGCAGGAGTTGCCACAAGGAGACGTGCAAGGCTCCATCCCAACCGTCTTAGGGACTCCAATCCGGGATTTGTGTGGGCTTTACATCTTAACTTTTTCAGCTCCCAAAGATGTCCCGCAAGGCAGCAGAGGTTGAGGACCAGAGTTTTCCTTCTCCTAGATGGGCTCCCTTCCCAGGTGAACGAGCCCCAGCTGCACCTAATGCTATCTTTCCATCAGTGCTATTTTTCTGGAAAAAGAGGTGCCGGAACACTTCCCTTGTTATTTTATAACGGCAGACGCTCTACCACCCAACTACCTCCTGAACTCTCCTTTAACTCTGGTAAGTAAAAGGTAAAGGTACCCCTGCCCGTACGGGCCAGTCTTGACAGACTCTAGGGTTGTCCGCTCATCTCACTCTAGAGGCCGGGAGCCAGCGCTGTCCGAAGACACTTCCGGGTCATGTGGCCAGCATGACATCGCTGCATCTGGCGAACCAGCGCAGCACACGGAACGCCGTTTACCTTCCCGCTGGTAAGCGGTCCCTATTTATCTACTTGCACCCGGAGGTGCTTTCGAACTGCTAGGTTGGCAGGCGCTGGGACCGAACGACGGGAGCGCACCCCGCCACGGGGATTCGTACCGCCGACCTTTCGATCGGCAAATCCTAGGCGCTGAGGCTTTAACCCACAGCGCCACCCGTGTCCCTTTTAACTCTGGTAACCTACCGTATTTTTCGTTCTATAAGAAGCACCCGACCATAAGACGCACCTAGTTTTTAGAGGATGAAAACAAGAAAAGCCAGCAAGAGCCGCAGACACGCTCGCTCAGCGCGGCTCTTTAAAGATAGAGCGGCTCTTGCTGGCTTTTCCGGGAGGTGGGAGAAGGGACTGACGGGCTGCCCTCCGTCTCTCCCCCCACCTCCCTGAAAAGCCAGAGGAAGCTGCGCAGCTATTGCTGAAGCCAGCACAGCAAGAGTGAGAGCTGCGCAGCGCTTCTGGGTCGCTGGCTTCTCAGTGAAGCAGGATGAGGGACGGAAGGGGCTCCATACGGGCTCCTTTCCGTCCCTTCTCCTGCTTCGCTAGGAAGCCAGCGACCCAGAAGCGCTGCGCAGCTCTCACTCTTGCTCTGCTGGCTTCAGCGATAGCTGCGCAGCCTGCATCCACTCCATAAGACGCACACACATTTCCCTTTACTTTTTAGGAGGAAAAAAGTGCGTCTTATGGAGCGGAAAATACGGCACTTTTAACCAGCGTCTTGGGAGTAGGTTTGCAACTTCTTGGTTATAAATGCAGGCGCAAAAAAGCACACGAGTGGCATAAAAAGTAAAGGGTAAAGGGACCCCTGACCATTAGGTCCAGTCGTGGCCGACTCTGGGGTTGCGGCGCTCATCTCGCTTTATTGGCCGAGGGAGCCGGCGTACAGCTTCTGGGTCATGTGGCCAGCAGGACTAAGCCGCTTCTGGCGAACCAGAGCAACGCACGGAAACGCCGTTTACCTTCCCGCCGGAGCGGTACCTATTTATCTACTTGCACTTTGAGGTGCTTTTGAACTGCTAGGTTGGCAGGACCAGGGACCGAGCAACGGGAGCTCACCCCGTCGCGGGGATTCAAACCGCCGACCTTCTGATCAGCAAGTCCTAGGCTCTGTGGTTTAACCCACAGCGCCACCCGTGTCCCTATGCATGAGTGGCATAGTCAGTGCTATTTTTCTATATAAAGAGAGAGAGATGCCGGAACTCACCATGAATGCCTCCCTCTTTCTCTTAGAATGGCAAAGATGCCCACCTGAGAGGTGCCGAGTTCTGGCGAGTCCCAGTTGAAATAAAGCCCTTGGATCACAGGACCCACTGGCTTTATTGAGAATGAGGAACGTGGGTTGGCCAGGCACCGTGTCTCTTGCAAAGCCTCTCCTCTGATGCCCCCCCCCCCCGCTCACCTTCAGCGTCAGAGCCAGGCACTCCCGCAAGTCGTTCTCCTCGGTCCTCAGCTTCGCCATCTCCTCCTCCAGGTCGGCCTGCTGCTTGCTGGCCTGCTGCTGGATCTGCTCCCGCTCCCTCTGCAGCTCGCTCTTGAGCGCTGCCACCCTCTCCTTGTACTCCTCTTCCAGCTTGCTGCACACACAGATCGAGAGAGTTTGCTCAGGATCAAGCCCTCGGCTCGCCAGGGACCAGCGGCCTGGTTCCTGCAGTTGAGTCGGAATCTCCTTTCTTGTCACTCGACTCCTCGGGAGCAGCGGGATGCAAGCTCGCTCCACACCTCCCATGCGACACGATGGCTCTCGTGTCACCTCTCTGTTTCCTCTTCTTCAGGCTAAACACAACGAGTTCCCACCCACTCCAATGGGTAGTCTGAGCATGTGCAAAAAGCAGATAAGAAACGGGACCAGCTCAATGAAGCTGCCCATTGATGGCTCTCCAGTTGCCCAGCCTGGCCAGTTTGGAGGAGGAGTGGAGGAGTTTGGCTTTGATATCCCGCTTTATCACTACCCGAAAGAGTCTCAAAGCGGCTCACAATCTCCTTTCCCTTCCTCCCCCACAACAAACACTCTGTGAGGTGAGTGGGGCTGAGAGACTTCAGAGAAGTGTGTCTGGCCCAAGGTCACCCAGCAGCTGCAGGTGGAGGAGCGGGGAAGCAACCCGGTTCACCAGATTACGAGTCCACCGCTCTTAACCACTACACCACACTGGCACACATAGAAGTTTCTGTTTCTATGTTCCCAGTAGGTCTTAGGGACCCTTAAGTGACTGAGATGCTGTGAATGGAGAAGGGAAATACCGAGAAGCGGGAAAGCTACCTCAGGTTGTATTCGTTTTGGCGCTCGATGGCAGAGTGCCTCTCATCCACCTCGGAGGTCATGAACAGTTTCCATTTCTCCGCCTTCTCCAAGTCCAAACGGAGCTTCTCCTTCTCTCGGACTTCTTGGTCCGCTTGCTCCCTAGGAAAGGGAAAGAAGTTCTGCCTTATCAGACTGGGATCCTGGCCTGCCTGATCTGAGCCAGGCCTGTGTTAGTGGCGAAGAGTTCAAAGACTGGCAAATCTTTAAAAAAGTAGTATGACCACCGACAATTGGGAAACACTGGCCTGCAAGCGCTCCAGTTGGAGAACAGCCTTGACCAAAGGTGTCATGGACTTTGAAGACACTCAAACTCAGGACGCAAGGGAGAAACGTGGTAAGAGGAAGGCACGCTTGGCAAATCCACACCATGATCAGCTCCTGCCTAGAAACCTATGTCCCCACTGTGGAAGTGTTACGAAAAAGGAGCAATGCAGATGCGAGCTCCAGCTGGCTGGTATGCCAGACAGGATGTTGTTGCTTGTGGCTGTACCGTGGGAACAAAGGGGCAGTCTATTCACTGTGCTGAGCACCGGATGTTAGCTCAGAGTGTCATCTGACCTGTACTGGAAGTACAGGGGAGGAGTTTCTCTCTCTGCTGTTGGTGTTAAGAGATTACAGACACGTTTCTCTGTACTGCTGGAAAGACAGAAATAAAAGGCATGTAAATACATTTCTGTCTGTCTCTTTCCCCTCCCTGGGGAATGGCAGGGAAGAGGGGAGGAGTGGTGTGTCCTTCTCACGTTAGAGGAGGATCGCCGATAGAAGATCTCGCCTGATCTTGCCGGGAGTCGCAGACCGGGGAGGTCAACAAGGAATTAAGCCGGGTGCCTGGAGAGTGGCCAATTCCTCTGATAAGGCTTAATTCTAACAGGAAGGACGTGTGGAACCAGAATTGGCCTCCATAGTCACTTACGGACTCATTGTTAAAACTGTGTTTATGGAAGACAATTTTACTCGGCTACGGGTGATCGCCAAAGAAAAAGAGACTGAGTTGTGGATCAGGAAAGTCTGGGTTCAAGCCTCGCCTCTTTCACAAACTCACAAGGGTCACAGACACATAACAACAACAACAACAACTTTATTATTTGTACCCCACCCATCTGACTGGGTTGCCCCAGCCACAATACAATGAGAACACCTGGCTTCCCCCAAAGGAACCTGGGGACTGTTCCTTCTGGGAACTGCAGCTTCTGCAAACTTTTAAAGACTTTTGCTCAAGTTGCCTTTGAGCGCAGACAGTCTAGAGCAAAGGCACTCGCTTTTTAAGAGTCTCCCTCTGGGCTGTGAAAATCTTGGAATAAGCAGAGATGGCAAAACTGACGGCACTGATAAGAGATACAAATTTCGGAATCTTTTAAAGGAGACTGGAAGCCCTTTCTAGCCTTCATAAAAGTTATTTCCCAACTACAAAGACCAGAGTGGGGTTTGAAGTGTAAGAAAATTGCGGAATATGAAATTAGAAAAGGATGAAATTAGAAAAGGCGGGACCAAATTTGTATGTAATTTGAGCTATAAATTTCGACGTTGGGCGAATGGGAAGTCATTAGTTTTGTTGAACTGGAATATAGTTGTAACAAATGTAACTTTCTATATGGAAAAAAGAATAACATATTTTTTATTATTAATTATTATTATTATTATTATTATTAAGTCATGCCATTTGCATATGGGATCTCATTTCCGCAGCAGAAATTCCCCTGCTTGTCCTCTCCCCATATGCCCCCACCCCAATTTTGCTCTGGAGACTTGTGGGAACCCCCAGACAGATTTGGGAGACACAGACAGGAGGAGAGGAAGGATAGGTTCCATTGCACAAGGGGGAAAGCCTTGAATGAACGGGATAACTTTGCTGGATAGCTTGGTTGGTAGAGCGTGAGTCTCTTAATTGCAGGGTTGTGGGTTTGAGCCCCACATGGGGCAAAAAGATTCCCACATTGACCAGAAGGTCCCTTCCAACTCTACAATTGTTTGATTCTATGATTCTATCTGAAAATTTGGGTGGGTCCAGAAACATAAAAGGACATATTCTTCAAAAATTACAAACTTACATTAAATGCCGGATCTCTGTTTTGAAGCTGGCCAGCACAGCCTGGTATATCCCGTTCTTTGTTATGAGAAGTTCATTTTCCAGGGCGAGAGTCAACTCCGTCAGGTTAATTCTTCCATCCAGGTTGAAGTCCAAGGCCTGCCAGAAAGCAAGAGGAAAGAATTCCCCATCAATTAAGAAGCTGCGTCTTCTTTTGGCTGATTACCGTATTCTTCGCTCTATAAGACGCACCTAGTTTTTGGAAGAGGAAAACAAGAAAAATAATAATTCTGAATTCCAGAAGCCTGGCTTATGGGATAGCCGCGCACAGCCTCTCCCGTGCAAGGGGAGCCTTCATCCCCTGCCCGGGAGAGGCTGCGTGCGGCAAAGGCTCCGCCAAGAGCCACACTCCCTTTAAAGAGTGCACAGAGTGTGTGTTCGGCTCTTGGGGGCTTTTCCTTGAGGAGGGAGAAGGGCAGCCCTTCTCCCTCCTGGGAGCAAAGCCCCCAAGAGCCGCACACACACTCCATGCGGCTCTGTAAAGGGAGCGCTGAGCAGAGCCTCCCGCCTGCATTCGTTCCATAAGACGCACACACATTTCCCTTACTTTTTAGGAGGGGAAAAGTGTGTCTTATACAGCGAAAAATACGGTAGTTTTCAGGTTTCCACCCAGTTATCTTGGGTGTTATATAGTGATATACAATAAAATGTGGAAGCGCCAAGGCAGCCGTCGCCGCATTGAATTCACCGTTTGGGGCATGTGTGATGGCCTGGGAATCGGACTCAGAGGCTGAACCTGAGGAATCCCCGCCTGCACAGGATTCCCCGCCTCCAGAACCAGCTGAGCCGGGGCCGGGGCCGGGGCCTGAGCCTGAAGGGTCCTCACCTGTGCTGGGTCCTCAGGTGCAGGCATCAGCTGAGCCTGCTCTGGCTCCTGAGGTGATGGAGGACCCATTGCCTGCAGGTGCTCCACTCTCAGCCCCGTCAGAGGAAGCTGAGGTTGTCTCTGGGTCTGGTGACCCTCCAGCCTCTCCTGAGCTGCAGAGGCTCAGGGCAGAGAGGCGGAGGGAACTAAGTTCCCACAGGAGGAGTGCTCGCCTCCAGGCCAGGAGAGATGAGTCACCTGTGGACCGGGGCCGCCCTATGCCTCAGGGGGAGATAAAGGCTGGCCAGCCCCAGTCGCAGGTTGCGGGGGCCACATTGTTGGTAGCCTGTTCCTGCCTGCACCCTGTCCTGCTCTTCTGCCAGAGTTCCTGACCTCACCCGACTCCCTGCCTTGGACCCAGCTTCAGCCTGACAGACAGCCTCCATACCACTCCCTCGACCTCGGACTGGACTCGGACCACGCCACACGGTAACCCCCCGGGACCAGCACAGCGTGCCCCGGTGGCCAAGAGGCAGTCGAAGCGCTTACCTTCAGGATCTCATGGCTGTTCTCAATTCCTTCTTCCTGCCAGGCGTCAAGGATCTGCTCTACGTCCGCGTAGCCCATTCCGTCATCCAGGCTGGAGAAAACGCGGAAGCCGATGGTGCTTGTCATTGCCGAAGGCGTGGTGGTCCGCCTCCCGCATTCATCAAAGGACTGAGAATGGGAGAGAGAGAGAAAGAGAACCACAGGAATGTAGAGCTGGAAGGGATCTCTAGAGTCATCTAGTCCAGCCCCCTGCAATAATCGGTTGTGCTGAAATTCCAGCACCCCCCAAAATCCATTCCACCTAGAAAACTGGCATGTCAGGGAGAAGAGTGGTCTGGAATTCTGCTTCCTAACATGCTAGATTTCTCAATGAAAGGAATTGTTTTTGAAGGAGGAGACGTAGCAGAGGTATAACTTTAATCTTTCCTGACAACCAGTTGGATTTTTTACTGCAATCAAGCAGTACATATATTCTGGGTTGTGTGTTTTTTTTTAAAAAAAACCCCAAACAATTATTTCCAATTCCAATTTCCAAACAATTATATTCCTATTTTATTTACTCTGGACTACTATGCATGCTCAAGTAGGAAATAGTTTCTTTGTAGTTGGACCTTGCCAACAAAGGTCCGTATAGTTCAAGCTATGGTTTTCCCAGTAGTGATGTATGGAAGTGAGAGCTGGACCATCAAGAAGGCTGATCGCCAAAGAATTGATGCTTTTGAATTATGGTGCTGGAGGAGACTCTTGAGAGTCCCATGGACTGCAAGAAGGTCAAACCTCTCCATTCTGAAGGAAATTAGCCCTGAGTGCTCACTGGAAGGACAGATCCTGAAGCTGAGGTTCCAAGACTTTGGCCACCTCATGAGAAGAGAAGACTCCCTGGAAAAGACCCTGATGTTGGGAAAGATGGAGGGCACAAGGAGAAGGGGACGACAGAGGACGAGATGGTGGGACAGTGTTCTCGAAGCTACCACTGCGGGAGGCAGTGGAAGACAGGAGTGCCTGGCGTGTTCTGGTCCGGGGGGTCAAGAAGAGTCGGACACGACTCAACGACTAAACAACAACACATATGCATGCTCAAGTAAGAAATAGTTTCTTTGTGGTTAAAAGAATTTCTTCTGATCTGACTTTGTCCCACGCTGTGGTTTTGAAATGCTCAGAGGAAATCTGATTGGTTCTTATGAACACTGTGTAAAAAGTTTTTTTGTGAATAAAACGACCTGGGCCGAGGGGTGGAGAGGGATTATTATACGCACTCCTCCCAGAGTCTTGCTGGTCAAGCCTCGTGTGTATTCTATTAATCAGAGTCCAATCCTTCCTTGCTTTGGGAACGCTACACTTCTCACGTAATTTATACGTTAACTTTGCCAACTCCACACAGCTCATCAGTTTTTCTTGCCATTGTTCTTTCGTTGGGATTTCCTCGTTCTTCCATCATTGTGAAATCCAACTGATTTTAGACAACTGAGATGGGGATACACCTGAGGTTTCTCACCTGCATGGAGAGATGGCGCTTGAGTTGCCTGTAGGGAGTTGAAGCCGAAGGCGGGAGAGGCTTCCCGATTTTGAAGAAGCCGTAGAAAAAGTCTTCGATGCTCATCGTGCCGTCGTGCTCGAGGTTGCGGAAGACGTCCTCTGCCACCTGAGAAGGATCAAAATATACCCTCAGAGAGAGCAGAAAAAGGGGAGAACCACTACTGGCCCTGACTTGGTAGAACGCTCTGTCACAAGAGACTAGGGCCCTGCGGGACTTGACATCTTTCCACAGAGCCTGCAAGACAGAGCTGTTCCGCTTGGCCTTTGGTTTGGACTCGGTCTCACCCTTATGTTTCCCTCCCCTTATGTCCTTGATTTATCGGCTACTATAATGGGACGCGGGTGGCGCTCTGGGTTAAACCACAGAGCCTAGGGCTTGCGATCAGAAGGTCAGCGGTTCGAATCCCCGCGACAGGGTGAGCTCCCGTTGCTCGGTCCCTGCTCCTGCCAACCTAGCAGTTTGAAAGCACGTCAAAGTGCAAGTAGATAAATAGGTACCACTCCGGCAGGAAGGTAAACAGCGTTTCCGTGCGCTGCTCTGGTTTGCAAAAGCGGCTTAGTCATGCTGGCCACATGACCCGGAAGCTGCACGCCGGCTCCCTCAGCCAATAAAGCGAGATGAGCGCCGCAACCCCAGAGTCGGCCACGACTGGACCTAACGGCCAGGGGTCCCTTTACCTTTATAAATCAGGCTGCATTTTAAATTGCATTTTAACCTGTATTTTAAATTGGTTTCCCCCTCTCTTTTTCCTCCTATTATGTTTTTACTGTGATTTTATTGGTGTTAGCCGCCCTGAGCCCGGCTCTGGCTGGGGAGGGTGGGGTATAAAATAAAATAATAATAATAATAATAATAATAATAATAATAATAATAATAATAATAATAATGATCTGCAGCCATGGCAGCCAGCCTGAAGAAGGGGAAGGTGCTCAGAACGGGTACCTGCATGTCAACATTCTGCAAGCCGTACTGTTTGCAAATGGAGACCAACTTCCTCCTGCTGAGATGTCCATCTCTGGAGATGCCCAGGCTCTCGCAAACCTCGTGCAGCTTCTCCTCTATCCAGTCTTGAGGGGGGGAGATGTTTGGGGAGGCATTCAGGTCGTCGGGATTCCAGAATCTCAACTGACCTTAAAGGGGGGAAAGAAGAATAAGCTTGTCTTGAAAAAGAAACAAGGTTAAGTAGATTAATAATAATAATAATAATAATAATAATAATAATAATAATAATAATATGCTAGACAATAATATATGTTTGTCTAGCAACAACTGAATTGATTCTAATATATTTCTCTCCACCCTCCCTTGCTCAGAGAGAGGAACCTGGGGCTGAACTCTGCACTGGAGCCTGATTCTGAGCTTTGCACTCCAGACTCCCTTTGAAATTCTGGAGACCACGTGGCGAAGCCGCTCAAGGCAGCTAATGTCTTGGGACAGATCAGACCTCTCCATAAAAATCTATATAGCAAGCGTTAGTATGTGGAAGCAACCCAAGAGAAATAAAGCATGATGCAGGGGGAGATGTGTTTTGTGTGTGTGTGTGTGTGTGTGTGTGTGTGAGAGAGAGAGAGAGAGGGAGAGAGAGAGAGAGGCAGAAACAAGGCACATGAATGAATAAATACAATTTGAAGGCAGGGCGACTTCTGGGTTGGCAAGAGGTTCCTATCCCTGTGGGAATGCTGGAACCCAATTTAAATGGCAAACCCAGCAGAAACTTTGGCATTCTGATCCGCAAATCCCACATTTTGAAATGGCCAGAGTGTGCTAGCTGCTTGTTTTGCAGCTCTGAATTGAAAGCGCAAGGAACACTACAAAAAAAGCATTCATTTCTCACTCTATAGCTGCCCTCGCTAGAGTCCATTATACTTAAAACATTTATTTGTATTTATCAGCTTAGGAGGAGGGAAACACCTTCTCTCTAACTCCATGAATTAAGGCAAGATCCGCAGAGGGGCTGCCGCCTTCCTCTCTTACCTTCCGCCTCATACTCTTCGCTGTCTTGGGATCTCCAGTGCTGAGAGAGAAACAGAGAGAGAGAGAAACAGAAATCAGGTTCCTCTTTCAAATGCAGGTGTGGACAGTCTGAAGGACAGGGAAACCCCATTGTTAGCCCAGAACAAAACCAATCAAGAGTCTGATTTTGGCACCTTAGGGACTAGCAGATTTATTGCAGAAGATGTTTTAGAAGCCAGACAGGCAGTGCCGGATTTACGTAGAAGCTAAACAAGCTATAGCTTAGGGCCCCATTCTCTTGGGGGTCCCCAAAAAATTAAAAGGAAAAAATAACTGGATGTGCATTTCCAAAATATAAGATAAAAAACAAATAAAATAAAACCTACATCCAGCAACAGTGTTTTGTGTTGTGTGGGCTCCTACGATGTAAGTAATGGGCCCCGCCTGCTAGCCTGCTCCCTAAAATATCACTAGTTTGCTCATTTCAATATACAGTGGTACCTTGTTCTCAAACTTAATCCATTCCAGAAGTCTGTTCCAAAACCAAGGTGTTCCAAAACCAAGGTGCGCTTTCCCATAGAAAGTAATGCAAATAAATTACCATATAGCATATATTCAACACAAAAAACAGTGACCATTTGTTGTTGACAAAGGACAGCTGGACATATAAAGGGCTCCATTACCTTCAGTAGCTTAGGGCCTCATCAAACCTAAATCTGGCCCTGCAGACAGGTATTATGTGCTCAGGTGACTGCCTCCATGTATTTGACAGCTCCAGACCACACAAAAAATCTACCCCAATGCTGGGAGCGACTACCCTTTTTTGTGGTCCTGGCAGGGGAAGACTTATGTCTCCTCCTCCTTCTTCTTTGGTGATCCCTTGTAGCCGAGTAAGATTGTCTTCCATAAACACGGTTTTAACAATGAGTCCGTAAGTGACTGTGGAGGCCAATTCTGGATCCACACCTCCTTCCACCGTGGGGGCATAGGTTTCCTGGTGAGAGTTGATCATGGTGTGGATTTGCCAAGCGTGCCTTCCACTTAGCACATTTCTCCCTTGCGTCCTGAGTTTGAGTGTCTTCAAAGCCCATGACACCTTTGGAAAAGGCTGCTCTCCAACTGGAGCGCTCGCAGGCCAGTGTTTCCCAGTTGTGAGTGTTTATACTACATTTTTAAAGATTTGCCTTGAGAGAGTCTGTAAACCTCTTTTGTTGGCCACCAGCATTACGCTTTCCATTTTTAAGTTCGGAATAGAGTAGTTGCTTTGGAAGACGATCACCAGGCATCCGCACAACATGACCAGTCTAACGAAGTCCACCCCCAACCCCTATTTTCCAGTGTCAATTGTCCCCCTCCACACTTGGGGCCATTTATAGCAATGAAGAAGGGGTTCCAGAGGGACACCCAGTTCCTTGTTACACAAATGCAGCAGAATAACCAGCTTCCCATCTCTGCCATCCTGTATGACAGAAAGGAACAAATGTACTGGTCTACCCTGCAGGGTAGCTACCTTGATGCTTTTGAATTCTGGTGCTGGAGGAGACTCTTGAGAGTCCCATGGACTGCAAGAAGATCCAACCTCTCCATTCTGAAGGAAATCAGCCCTGAGTGCTCACTGGAAGGACAGATCCTGAAGCTGAGGCTCCAAGACTTTGGCCACCTCATGAGAAGAGAAGATTCCCTGGAAAACACCCTGATGTTGGGAAAGATGGAGGGCACAAGGAGAAGGGGACGACAGAGGATGAGATGGTTGGGACAGTGTTCTTGAGGCTACCAGCATGAGTTTGAGCCAAACTTCGGGAGGCAGTAGAAGACAGGAGTGCCTGGCATGCTCTGGTCCAGGGGTCACGAAGAGTCGGACACGACTAAACAACTAAACAACAACATCAACAACAAACCTTGCAGGGGGAGTTGAAATATTTACTGAAATCACAGCATTCCAAGTGCTTGAAACATGCCTCCCTCCCTGCACAATCACACGCTGTTTGCAGCAACTTGGAGCTTCTTCTCAGCTGCAATGGCAGGGGGTTGGACTAGATGACCCTCAGGGTACCTTTCCAGCTCTATGATTCTATGATTCTTCTAGAAAATGGGCAGAGGTAGAGGCCTCAAAACCCCCCTGCACAGCCGCATGGATTTACCCAGCGATGAGCAGCGCCCAGGGCAGGGGGATGATGATGAGGAGGAGGAACCCCTTGCCTATATCTAGGAAGCCAGAATCGGTGTCATTCCAAGGACACACCAGCTTGCCTCTCCTCCGGCTAAACATCTGTCTTTCCACACAGAGCACTTTTAGCTACTGTAGGAATCAGGCAGCGGCGGCTCCTCCCCTCTCTCCAAGCGCCAGGCAACGATAATGGCTGGTTTATTTTTAAACCGTGCATCAAAGCAGTTCATACGCGTTTTTGAAATGATACAACATCCCCTTTCCTCCACTGGGAGATCCTCCCCCTCAGCCGCTCACGGAACAATTCACTCCTTATTTATACAAAGCTGCAAAAAAAACCCCCGCAACAACCACACACACACAACCGAGGCTCAAGCTTCCAAAAGGGCGGAGTTGGCCGTTAACGTTCCGCCGTTTAAAAGATGCTCATTTTTTTAAAAAATTGCATTCATGTGACTGATGCATTTGAAAGCAGAGCCACCGAGCGCTCGGCAAAAGCTCTGGCGTCACGAAAATAATAATGCTTCTCATTCAGATTACGGCTAAAAATGCCATTAATCTACTGGAGTCGCCATGGAAACTGGATTAGGTCACTCTACTTTTCAGAACTCCTGTTGCATGCCTGGGCTCCATAATCTGAAAGATTGGGAAGTGGGGGGGGGTGAGGGAGACCCCAAACTCAAGCAGGAAAGTACACAGGTCTTGGGCTGAGATCCTCCCCCATCATTCAGCCCAGACATGGAGGTCCAGCTCCGAGGGCCTTCTGGCAATTCCCTCCCTGCGAGAAGTGAAGTTACAGGGAACCAGGCAGAGGGCCTTCTTGGTGGTGGCGCCTGCCCTGTGGAATGCCCTCCCGTCAGATGTCAAGGAAATAAACAACTATCTGACTTTTAAAACACATCTGAAGGTAGCCTTGTTTAAGCAAGTTTTTAATGTTTAATGCTGTATTGTGTTTTTATTATTTTGTTGGAAGCCGCCCAGAGTGGCTGTGGAAACCCAGCCAGATGGGCGGGGTATAAATATTACATTTATTTACAGGTAGGTAGCTGTGTTGGTCTGCCGTAGTCAAAATAAAATAAAAAAATTCCTTCCATTAGCACCTTAGAGACCAACTAAGTTTGTTATTGGTATGAGCTTTCGTATCCGAAGAAGTGTGCATGCACACAAAAGCTCATACCAATAACAAACTTAGTTGGTCTCTAATGTGCTACTGGAAGGAATTTTTTTATTTGATAAAATTATTAGGGAAGCTTTTAATGTTTGATGCATCACTGTATTTTAATATTGTGTTGGAAGCTGCCCAGAGTGGCTGGGGAAGCCCAGCCAGATGGGCAGGGTATAAATAATAACATTATTTATTATTATTATTATTATTATTATTATTATTATTATTATTATTATTATTATCTAAGAGCAGTATTGTCTGTGCTGATTGGCAGCAGCTCTCCAGCACATTCCCAGTCCAACCACCAGGGATGCTTGGAACACACAAAACTCCATCACTGATTATAGCACAGCCCACAAACTCCCCAATGGGAAACCATCAGGCATAATTTCCTCCCAAAGTGCTGGCTCTCCAGGCACCAACTCCCCCCTGCATCGAGGGAGGGTGTGTACCTGACTGAGGTCCGCTCCTGATTTCATTTCAGGGATAATCCCATAGGGAACAGGTTTTCACAATGATTTCCCAGTGACTTTGGGGTTTGCCTCGAGAGGCTGATTTTGGAAACGCTTAAACATGCACCAAGATTACAGATTGTCAAGCAGTATATTTTTAACCGTGTTCTTCCAGAACTTTTTAATTAATTTATTCCTGGCATGGAACCTGGGCCCTGACACAGAGCAAACCTACCAAATTCCATTGGTATTAAATCAGGGGGGCAGCCTCCCCTCATCTGTCCAGGAAGTAAAATGTAAAAATGACATGTGACAGCCTGACGCCCGATGCACTTAATGCACAGAGGGTTTTGCAAAAAAAAAAAAAAAAAAAGTGCTCTCTCCAAGGTCACAGATTTGAGCGCAGAAACTGGGGGCTGATTTGGCCAACCGAGTTCACAAAGAATCCTAATAATAATTTTTTTAAGCAGCCTAAAGATTTGCTAAACGTTGTGTCGATCAGCCTGCTCTACTTTAGAGGCAGCGGAATTAAGGAATTAGGGAGAACTGGTTTCTCGTTCCCCTCAAATGACCTGTGATGATAAAAAAAAAAAAAGGCTGGAATGCAGAAAGGAGGAATGGAGGCAACTCTTTCTGGCACCAGACAAAAAGGAAAGAGGGCTTTGCATTTCACGAACAAGGTGAAACTGGGAGTAAAAATGATCACACACAGAGAGAAGCTTGCCCTCCCGGATATGGTCCAGACTGGATTATTGTAACTCGCTTTACGTGCGGCTGCCCTTGAGACTGACCCAGAAACTCCAGCGGGTGCAGAATGCCGCGGCGAGACTCCTTACGGGGTCTTCGCTGCGGGATCACATTCATCCGGTGCTATACCAGCTGCACTGGATCCCGGTGGAGTACAGGATCAGGTTTAAGGTGCTGGTTTTAACCTTTAAAGCCCTATACGGCCTAGGACCCTCGTACCTACGGGACCGCCTCTCCTGGTATGCCCCACAGAGAAACCTACGGTCTACAAATAATAACACCCTCAAGGTCCCAGGCCTCAGAGAGGTTAGGCTGGCCTCAACTAGAGCCAGGGCCTTCTCGGCTGCAGCTCCAACCTGGTGGAATGCTCTGTCACAAGAGACTAGGGCCCTGCGGGATCTGACATCTTTCCGCAGGGCCTGCAAGACAGAGTTGTTCCGCCAAGCTTTTGGTCAGGGCGCAGCCTGACTCCCTCCTCCGGCAACCTGCACAGAATTTTGTTTAATTGGTTGCCATCAATTTGATTTTAA